GTTAAAAAAAAAAAAAATATAAATGTTGCAAATGACCTCATTTTACTTTTTTTTTACCTCGATTTACACGGTATTTCCTTTACACGTTTTTGTTTTTATACGGTTATAAAAATTAAATTACAAAATAATTTTTGAAAATAACCTCGTTTTATACAGTATTTTTTTAAACACGTTTTTGCTTTTGCACGATTTAAAAAAAATTATCAAAAGGAACATTTTTTTGCCTTTTGTTTGATTTATGTACTTTAAAAAAATCATAATTAATAAACAATGATTCTTAGAAACCTTCCGATTTACACGGTTTTACATTAAAAAAGTTACAATCTCGATTTACACGTTTCTCTTAGGAACATATTTACCTGGTAAATCGAGGAATAGGTGTATTTAGTAATATTGATGGAACCGACTACCCGCACTATGCGTGGTATTATTGAATTTTTATATTATAGCAAGGTTCAAACAAAACTAACTTGGAAATCTATAATTTTTATGAAATGAAGACATGAAATCACTGGTAAGTTGCTATTATAAATATAATAGACAAAAATATTTAATAATAATGAATTATTTGTAACTTTAACAATATTTTATGGCTTTATTAACTAATTTATTTAATTACAAATATAGTCACCTCTCTTCATACGATGGTCTTTTCTTACGTAAGTTGAAATGGTGGTCGAATTTTGTACAAAAAAAATATAACAAACATTACTTTATGATTTTTACATCATGACAAATTGATACATTATTTTCGTTTTATGTACAAAATACATGATCTTTCTTTTCTCTCGCTTTGTTTTTGGATTGGTTGGGTTTCGAACAGTCCGCATATAATGTCGAAACCGCAATATGCGTGGTATTTCTGTATTTTTATATTATAATCATTTTTAAACAAAACTAACTTCGTAATAATCAAGGAAATCTATATTCTTTTATGAAATGAAGACATTAAATTACTGGTAAGTTGCTAATATAAATATAATAGACAATGTTGTATGGCTCTTTAATTATTACGTTTTTTATCAATTAATTAAATTACAAATACAGCCACCTTTCTACTGTTTTGACGGGGTTCTGTTTATAATTTTTGTCGTAAGTTGAAATGGTGGTCGTAAGTCAAATTTATAATGATTGTAAATCAAGATATTTCTGTATAAATAAAGAAATATAGTGGAACCAATTTTTAGTCTTATAGTGAAACATATTAAAAAATACACATAATATGTGTACACAAGTTTTAAAAATGATATGCAGGCGCGCAATCCGAGACTTTTCTTCTTATCGTCACTCGTTCGTTAAGCGAATCATTTTTCTTGCAATTCATTTTGTTTGTTAAGCGAAATTCTCATTATGCGTGGTGCTCGTTAAGCGAGATTCGATTGTATAATAATTGTAAAAAAAACTAATGTATATTAAATATAATTTAGGAAATATCGCTGTCTCTAATAATAATAATGTGTTACTTAAATTCTTTATAATATTTACTGATAACTATAGATTTAATTTCATCACTTTTTTGTTTTTCCAATTCTATATATTCCAATAATTAGCCAAAATTATAGAAATAAATTAAGTAAATTCATTTGAAAACAATAAACTAAATAAATTGAAAAGGAAATAAATAACAGAATAGAATTTAGAACCCAAAATAATAACAATTCTATAAAAAGGACTAATAGATTACAAGATTTTAAAATTTCACCAATTCTGCTACCATTGTTTTAAGTTACGTAAGATGTGGATGATACTCATAACTTCCTGATTATATTGAATTGAATATTTTCAAATGTAAATTTTTAAAAATAGAAAATCAGATAAAAATAGTGGTAGAAGGAAATTTCCTTTTACACACCCTTTCAAAACTATTATTTATTCACGTTCCTCTGTACACGAAATAAATCTAAAGTCTGTATTCGAAACATTGCAGAAACATGACTTGGCTCTACTTGCATCATAAATAATCCATGTACGGGTGGTTCCATCGATTTCCCAAGAAGCCAGTATATAGATCTCGCGGCCTGTCAAGAAGATCGTTGCTGGCATTCACTTTATTAGATTATAAAGTTATTGGAGACGAAAGAGAAAAAATAAAATAAAATGAAGAGTGGGAAACTCGTGGATTCATTTTTGTCGACGTCGTGTGTACCCTCCATACCAATCCACGATTTTCGGTTGCAAGGCCATTGTGTATATCCGAACCACCGATGAAAAATTGCAATTCCCCTTTTATATATATATGACTCGTTTCTCTCTCTCTCTTTCTCTCCATCGCATTACTTCTCACCATCTCCGTTCACTATATGATGAACTTTGTGAGTCATGGGGATTTGTTTTTAGCGAGGGGTGGCAGGAGAAAGGCGGTTTCCTACAGTTCATCCCCTCGGCTGTATAAAATTAAAGTAAATTCGGTGGCCATCTTGCCATTACGGACATAATTCAATTTGGAAGAGAATGAGAAAAAGCAACATAAGTTTAACAAAATATACAGTAATACCTCGCATAGTGCGGGTAATCACATTCGCGACTGTTTGAAAGAGGACCACTAATAATAAATCGGACTAAAAGTGACTT